TTCTGTGCCCCATTAGAAGCTGTGCCCCCACAGGGGACTGGGAATCTGGTGGGGGCCCCCATGCCCCGTGGGGAGCCCTGGCCCCACGGGAGATTTGGGGGGGGAACCTCTGTGCCCCATTAGAAGCTGTGCCCCCACAGGGGACTGGGGATCCGGTGGGGGCCCCTGTGCCCCGTGGGGAGCCCTGGCCCCATAGGGGATGGGGATCCAGTGGGGGCCCTCTGTGCCCCTTGGGAGCCCTGGCCCCACAGGGGACTGGGGATCTGGTGGGGGCCCCCATGCCCCGTGGGGAGCCCTGGCCCCACAGGGGACTGGGGGGGAGAACCTCTGTGCCCCATTAGAAGCTGTGCCCCCACAGGGGACTGGGGATCTGGTGGGGGCCCCCATGCCCCTTGGGGAGCTCTGGCCCCACAGGGGACTGGGGATCTGGTGGGGGACCCCTGTGCCCCATGGGGAGCCCTGGCCCCACAGGGGACTGGGGATCTGGTGGGGGCCCCCATGCCCCATTGGGAGCCCTGGCCCCACAGGGAACTGGGGGGGAACCTCTGTGCCCCATTATAAGCTATGCCCCTACAGGGGATGAGGATCTGGTGGGGGACCCTGGTGTCCTGTGGGGACCCCTGTGCCACATCAGGGTGGGGGGAATCTGGTGAGGGACCCCGGGGGTCCCCTCAAGCCCTGTGAGGGCCCATGGGGTTGCCCCTTGGGACAGGGTCCCTCCAGACATGGGTCAGCCCCCTATAGCACCGGTCACCTGGAACAGGCTGGGGGTCCTGGCACCTGCAACTGCTGGGCTGGCCTGGGGAAACGGGCCGGTGCTTTTTCAGCCAGTCCTGCCTCGTGCTTGGCTTGGCTTTTTAAATATTTACACTTGAGTGCTAACGGCGTACGCTGGGGACAGCCAAGTTGACCCTAGAAATGTAATGTATTTGAAATGCCTTCTCCTTCCGACAGAGAATGATCGCAGTCTACAGCCAGCTGCTTATGTATTTTACTTAATAAACACTTAGCAAGAGCCTAAGCGTGTGTAAGGGTAGATAATTCAGTGTTACATGGGCTGGCTTCACTGTTGTCAGCAGGACACTGAGCTGGGAGACCTTAATGCTGAGTGCCAGCCCTGTGTCATACTTGTTCCTTTGAACATAAACACTGGGACGGTGCGCTGAAATCCCAGGGGTGTTACTGGGAGGGTTTTACTGGGAGTCAGCAGCCTTGTAATGTGGCTTGAGGTGGCGGGTGAGTCACCTTCCTCTTCTCCCTCACATGAGCAGGTCCAGGTATTAACGCCCGTGTGGCCAAAGCACAGCTCTGCATGGTGTTTTCCGACAGAGCCGTCGCCGCTTGTGAAGCCTTAATTATAACGTGGCTGTCATTAAGGTTGTGTCAAGTGCTAAATGTGTTTACGCTGCGGAGCGTGATGTGTCTTCGGTCAGCAGAGTTCAGGGAGTCAGCCCCGCGGCTCCTCCCGGGCCGGCTTCTTTGTGTCTGGGCCACAGGAAAATAGAGGCGGAGGGAAAAAAAAAAAAAGCAAAACAACTTTGATGCTCCTGGGAAAAATCCTGGTATTTCCAATTGTTGGTGTTGTCCCCCCAGCCCACAATTCTCTGTTTGAAGCCTGTTTCTTTTGTCATTGCTTAGCTGCCGTAGCGACATACACCTGCAAAGGGCTGGTTTTATTTGGAAAATAAATGCATGTTGATTGACAGGTTCACACTAACATAATAAATTAAATTAATAAGATTTTCTATTTTGTAGTTTGGTGTGGGGGGGTTGTCAGCATGTCACTGACTTCCAGCTGCTCCGAGGTGGACGGAGCGCCGCGCTTCTCAGAGCCATGGCTGTGTTTTGGTGCTAAGCTGCTTTCCACTGAACACGTAGTTGGTGTTTTGGGTGCTGTTCGAACAGGGCACGCTCTTTCCCCGGTGCGGAGAGCGCACAGAATGATTTGTTGTGGCACTGTACAAATGCAGGATGCTCCTAGAAATCACGCGGTTCAGAACAAAAGTGCCCAGTGCTGGCTTGCATTAAAGGCAAAGGATTCATGCTTCCCTTGCTGCTGCCGCTGGGGGACTGCAGCTTTAGGGACCCCACAAAACCAAACACCTCCTTATAAAATCCCTTCCCCGGTGCTGGTGTCTTGCAACTGCAGGTCTGGACGTCTAACCGCAGCGTGGTGTGTGAGCATTCGTTTCCCTCTATTGTGTTTCTCTGTAGCAGACTTCTGAATTCATCACCTTCAGTTGATGCTCATTAGTTTTGAATTTTCTCTCAAGCAAATTGCCTTTTCCCATTCTCTTTCATTGCTTCCAGTGCACCTTCAAAGGAATGAAGCACAAATTCCATGGAGAGGCCGATCTGCATGCTCTGTTTGCTGCCTTTATTTTCATGTACCAGCTGGTGAGGCGGCTGCGTTTTCCAGGCGGCCTTGCCTATCGGTTCTGTGGAGTCGGGAAGTCTGCGGCTCCAGCAACAGACAAAAAAGCATTGCTGCTCAGCGCTGATAATTTTCTTTGTCGGCCCTGATGTGGTTTGAATGTCATTGAGTGCTAATTGAGCATGTGTGATAGCGGCGTGCAGTGGTGGTTTTGCGCTTAATATTCTGGAGCTGCATTTCAGAAAGGGGTACGGTTCTGTCTGTACCGAATGTCCTTCCTGGTGTGCTCCAGTCAGGAGCTGCTAGAGGTGAGTGGAAATCCCCGGCCGGTCTGTAAGGCTTGGCTCCACTCCCCTGTTGATTAGGGGTTCCTTAGCTTAAGAGGCATTAAGATAGCAACTGAAAAGAAGCTGGAATGAAAGGTATGAGGGCATGGGGCGTGAGTGCGAGCTCCCTGGTACCAGTTTCACCTCTCTGAGGCTGCTTCAGAGTCCTAGCCTCTGCGAATTTCTTTTGGGGAAACCAGATGAAAGCACTCTGGGTGCTGAGCTGAAATACAGGAATTCCATGTTGTGTTGCTTTTTTTTTTTCTTTTTTTTTTTTTTTAACCCTTCCCAGTCTGGGTTTTCAAACTTTTACTAATAACTTTCTATTTACAGTAAGAAATGTTTTCCTTGGCACCTGGGGCCATATGATTATGACGTAGTTGTAAGATTAAAGGCTTTTCTTTTTGTTTTCCTGCACTGTAGGCTTATTTAGTTTTTAAAACATAAACACCCTCTGTTGGTCTAAATTACCCGTGCCTCTCAAGAGCTTGTTTGTAAAAGAAATCTCCTTGTTTCTGCAGGTGGTACAAGCTTCGTTCCAAACCAGGGAAAAAGGAAAAGGAGAGAGGGGAGATCGAAGTGGATATCCAGTTTATGAGGAGCAACATGACAGCCAGTATGTTTGATCTGTCCATGAAAGACAAGTCTCGCTCTCCCTTTGGCAAGCTCAAAGACAAGCTCAAGGGGAAGAGGAGCAGTGGCCTTTCCGACACGGCGTCTGCGATCATTCCCAGCACATCTCACTCCCCTGCTGACAGTGAAGATGAGTCAGTTGAGAAGGAAAAGAAGAAATCAAAGTTCAAAACCCTGTTTTCCAAACCTGGCCTGCAGAAGACTTCCCTCTCCCAGTCCATGTCAGTCCTACCGACGGAGCAGCCCGTCACTGGGAGGGTTCGGCTTCGGCCCAGCGACTTCCAGTCACAATGGGATGATGAGGAGTCCGAGCCCTCTCCAACCTCAGAGAGTGAGTATTGGCATTCACTGCACTGATGAAGCACAAAGCCTTTCTCCAAAGGTTTGCTTGCGCTTTTCACACTTCTTTAGAGTTAAATTCTTCTTAGGGAACGACTCCATCGGAAGTCCCTTCTGTCTGCAGTGGTGGGTACACACATAGGACATAGGCTAAGCTTACCTTGGGGTAACGTAGAAACTGTTGGGCTGTGTGTGTTGGCGGTGTGGCTTCACGGTAAGTGATCTGTGGTGGTTTTAGGTCATTGAACGGCACATGCGATCCGGTACGCCAAGGGCTGGCAGTGGTAGGGGAGCCAGGAGGTTTGGAAGTGGCTTCCGTAGTCACACTTGCAATGTTTCTGTTGCCGTGACCCATTAATGACTGAAGTGCTGAGGTTGTCAGTAGCGAGTGTCAGAGGAAAGGATGTTTCTGCATCTTGAATTTCTCCCTGTTTATTTTTTCCAGAAGCCTTTGGAAATGCCCTGGAAGAGAAGTCCTCTCCTTCTCCTGTATTTAAATCTCGTAAAACAGCAAATTTGGACAGCAGGCAACTAAACCAAGTAACCACTAGCCACAACAAGAAAGAAGGGCTCTCTCTATTCAGTGGCCTTAAATCCAAAAGCGATCCTGTTTCCAAGTCTAGCCTGTGTATCAATGGCAGTCACGTTTATATGGAAGAGAGCACGACGAAGGACAACACTCCAGCCTCTTCCCCCTCTCCTCACAACTTCAGGAGGAAGCAGCTCTTTGCTTCAGAAGAGAACCTGTCTTCCAGATCTACCAAAGGACCCGAAGAGATGGGAAGAACATCTCCTAGTCATGCTTTCTCTGGGTCTGCATCCCTGGAGACCTTTAAATCTATGACTTTGCCGTCATACAAATTGCTTAGCAGTGAAGAATACATGGAAACCAGTGTTCCTCCAGCTGTCGAGGTTATTAAAGAGACCAAGAAAACAGACCACAAAAAGTCTGCCTTGCTCTCTCTGGTCACAGGGAAGAAGGAAGCAGTGAAGACCAGCGATGCTGAGAATATTCCCGACAGGACCCTGCAGAATGAGGAAAACAAAGTTCCAGAAGAGAAGAGCGAACAAGAGGCCAAACGTCTTGAACTTCCAGCAGATTTAAGCAGAGGGAATCCTTCAGAAGACAGTCACCGCGCAGAAGACGTCTTTGCAAATAAGCAGCCGCTCAACCCTTTCGAGGAAGAATGGAAACCTGAAAAAGCTGCTGCGCCGGTGAAGACCAAAGCTGTCAAACCCAGGTCAGTCATGTTTGCTTCAGAGGTTGACATAAATAGCGATGTGCAGCAGAGGCGGCAGGAACTCGGCTGCTTCCTGCCACAGGGCAGCGCTTCGCAGCTTGGCATCCTGCGTGCGGCCCAAGTGTGTTGCTCTGCAGGGTACCTGGTGGTTTTGAGCTAGCCCTTTGGTAACAAGTAACAACTCTGAGTTCTTTCTTGGTATGAAAAAGAGATTGATGCAGGGATGTTCCTTATAAGTGATGCGAAAGAGTGGTTCTCTGAGTGCAGGCATTTTTGCAGGTACCCTAGGGGGGATTTTTCTTGCTGGATCTTTTGCAAAAACTAACACTCTTCTGAGCGGTGTGGCTTGAACCTACCCAGGGGCTGAAATACCAGTTCTAACATCTCTACTTTTCTCTTCTTTATTTGGCTGTGGTCTTCCAAAGTGTTAATCTTGGAGCCCTTCTGCTTTTGGCATTGTTCACAGCAACATGAAGGACATTTGCGTGAATTTGTACACAAGGCTTTTTCGGAAATTCTGCTCCTTTATCCTTCATATATATGTGTGTATATATATATAAAAAAAAAAATCTGTGTGTGTGTTTATATATATATATATATATGGGTGTGTCCTACTAATAAGGCTACGTTTTGTGTCTGTCTCTAACTCTTGATTTGCAGTGCTTCCCATGTTTAAACATCTCACATATGAAGTGTCTTACATACTAATAAAATCGCTTGGGGTGCGAAAGATGAAGTAGTGCTTAAAAGCAGCCACCGCAGTAACCTGTGCAAACTCTGCAGTGCTCTGACATAAATTGAGTGCTTTGTAAAGACACGCTTAAGTATGTAAAGTCTATCAGATAGGCTCTGAGGTCTCTTGCAAGTGTAATTCATCTCCAGTGTTAGGAATTGATGGAGTCTGGTGCTAAAGCTTGTCTGTTCCTGCCTCGTGTTGCATCCGCAAGTGACATGCGAGTTTTTTGTCCCTTTTTGCAGACTGGGCGTGTCTTCAGAGGAGGAAACCAAAGCCACGCTTCCTACTCTTGCACCTGATTCCCTCCCTGCTTTTCTTTCTGTACACCGTATCAGTAGTGACAATAATCCTTTTATTTCTAAAATGGGACAAAAAGTCCAAGTGCCAGACTCTGAAAACATTACTAGTTCTCCTGCATCTATTACTTCTCCTCCTCCTTTTGCTGCAGAGCTTTTGAATGGCAAGAACCCCTTTACTTCCGAGTGGGGCAGGGCATCCGCAGCCCTGGATCCGGAAGGCATTGCCCATTTCCCTTCATCCCATCGTCTCCCAGCCTCTGTTCCCAAAGCGCCTCTTCCTGGGCAGGTCTCTGGTAGTGGCAATAATCCTTTTGCTTCTGAATGGGGGCAGAGCTCAAGGGGCCAGGGTCCTGAAAGCTCTAAAACGCAGGCTTCCCGGGGTCTCTCTCACCCACCCGCACCTTCTCTCCTCTCTGATTGTAATTTTAATGACAATAATCCCTTTGTATCCAAGCTTGGGTGGGAATCAGATGTGCCAGGTTTCAAAGCTGTTGCTAGTTCTTCCTCTTTCTGCCTGCCTTGTGAGGAAGACTGTTCCTCAGCGGAACACTCTGCTGAGCTGAAACGCTCTGGTTGCGATGCTTTAGGGAGCTCTTCAGATGTGGCTACAACTAGTAATGTCAAAGCTGTATCAAACCCTCTCGGCACCCTTTCTGGCAACCCTGGTCTGGCTCCAAAGCAGCAGAGTGATTCTCCCCACCTTCAGGTTGAGACTTCTTTGAAAAGTAAGCTAGGCAAGAGGAAATCTGTGTCCTTTCTCCCTGCTGGATCAGAGGGTGATGAGGATTTCGGTGAGCAGGAAGGTGAAAAGCAGGGCTCTGATTTCGGTGAGATGTTACTGACCGGTTCAGATGCAACAGGGGAGCGAGCAGGGTTTGCTCGCGAACTGGAAGGAGGGTGCTACCCGTTGTCAAAGCTCTCTAGTGACAGCAGAGATCCCATCCGAAACAGCAAGACCACTCTTCAGGATGGTGTAGGTGGTGTAAATACCGAACCCTGCACAAAGGACAGCAAACATTTTGCATCTCCCTCAAAGCGTAGTAGTCTCTTGCCAGAGATGGGTGCTGAACAGAGTGAGCTGAATGAGAAGCAGGAGATCTTTGGTGAAAAGAGACGAGAAGAATGTGCACCCACGTTAGAGCCCCAAGCAACTCCACTTGATAAAAATGACTCATGTTCTCAAGTAGGATCTGCCAAACCAATCCTGGGAGCTTGCACACTGTCCCCTTGGGAAGCCGATGTGGGGAGGGCTGGCAGGGAGGTGTTAGTCACTCCAAAGCCAGCACCACGCCAGTCTTTAATGCTGAAAAAGTGCCCACCGGTTTCTCAGGCTGATGAGTTAAGTGGTGATGTGTCTTCTTCAGGCAGTGGTGTAAAATCTGCACCTGGGCTCCCATTACCTAATGATAAAGCCTCAGATGCTTGCGGGTGCCTCCCCCAGGGTGGCTCATTAGAGACTATCACTCCACCAGCGATGCTCAGAGATGACAGCAGTAATAGGGATTTAAAAAATGAAGGTGGCGACGATTTATTTGACTGCCTTATGAATATAAAGTCTGCCATTCCCGTTAACGGAGACCATGGTTCGAAACTGGCTGGTCTTCCAGTTATTCCGGAGGGAGGCTCTGATGATGAGCTGCTGGGTGACTGTCAGGAGAACTGCGGTGTCCCTGCAGTTTCAGAGACTGGAAAGCAGTCCCTGAATACAGTGCCTTTGCATCAGGAACTGAAAGAGCACCCTGATAGCTCTGCTGCAGCCCGAGTAACCCTGACAGCTCCAGGAGGAGGAGGAAGTGCTCCTGGTGTTTGTAAGCCAAGGAAACCACCTATGCTGCCTGCCAGAGATGTTCACAGTGTCAATAACCAGGCAGCTGACTCAGGCTTAGGTATGACGTCTCGTTCCAGGGAGTGTAATAGTCATTTTGAGAAACAAGAACTGAAAATACGTGCAGGTGTTGTGGAGCGTGCGGAGTGTGACTTCTCTGAGCCTTCTGTTTCCTCTTCCTCCCTGTCAAGTCCTTCCCAGCCCTACTCTTCCTCTCATTCTCACCCCTCTGACGCCCCAAGTCGTAGAGCAGAGTCTCCGAAAAAGCCAACAGCCGAGGGCCTCGCAGATAAAGCGGGAAATTCTGGCAAGAAGAAGCTTCTTCAGGCATGGGTTTCACCCTCTGAAACATATCCTAACCAAACTGAGCAGAGGGGTGAAACCGTGTCTCCTAAGCACAGGTGAGAGAAATGGGAAGTACACAGAAAGTGTCTCAGTGCTGATGTGAGCTTTGCTTTTTCTTCCTCTGAGCACAGATCTGTCTCTCCAGCTGCAGGAATTTACTGCGCTTGGCAGTGACATGGCATCATACAGCCTTAACTTCCTCCAGCCCCTGGATTTGTTGGGGCCTGGGTCCTGTCGTGCCAGTATAGGATCATTGCTGGCACCAGATGTATCCCTGTAGCTATTAAGGACACCCAGAGCGCTCGAGGGGACCTGCCGTTCATCACAGTGCTACCTCTTAGGAGGAATGTTAGGGAAACTTGGTCACGGTTCGAGAAACAGGGTAATTTCATCAAACTGGGGAAATGGACTGCAATTCATCCATGTTTCAGAAACGGGAGAGTGGTCACAGGAAGCCTGATAGACTGGGATGTGTCCTCTCCTGGCTGAACCACGCTCCTGAGCCTCAAAGTGAATTGCAGCAAGCGATGCAGCTAAAGCCTCTCTCCTAAGGACGTGTGGCTGCTTTCCAGAGCTGCCTGCAGCCCCTCCTGCCTGCTGGGGTACTGTTGTCCGAGGAACAGCGCCGCTGACGCGTCAGCCCGCAGTACTGGGTCTGCAGAACTTTGTCTAGGACGCTTCTGGCCCACCATTTGCTGAGATAAAATTAAAATTTTCTGCCTGTATTAAAATTGGCAAAATAAATCCTGCTCAAGCAGACGAAGATAGCACTTTTTGGAAGCTTATGGCGCAAGTTGAGATTGGAAAAGGTATAATGCATGCTTGTCCCAGGATGGTAGAAGTACTTGATATGTTGCAAGAACCACAAATATGTTCTTGTTAGGAAAGTCAGGCTGAAATACTAATGCGTGAGAGATCAGCGTAACTGCCGCTGCGTACTGCCTTCTCGCATAGACTGACCTGGCTTTTCTTGTGTCACATACCATTCAGGATGTATTTCCCTTGTTCTTTATCTCCAGTGCCTTAAGTCACTAAAGATAATAGAGAGAGAACTGGAGTATACTTAGAAAAAGCTTATAGCTTAGACAGAAATGCCTTGTCTTTGTGAAGCTGAATCTCTCTGGAGATAAAGAAGGGTAGGAATTTTTCCCAATTTTTTTGCTGTACTTGTTTTTAGTCTGAAGATCTGTGTAGTGCTGGTATGACATGTGCTGCCTAAATAACACGAACCTTCTTTAACGTTGCAGACTCCATCCTGTGAAGCCAATGAATGCCACAGCAAACAAGTCTCAAAGCAAAAACCTGAATGTCATCAGCACTATGAATGAAAAGCTGCTCGAGATGAACGTGAAGGTATGGAGGAAAGGGGCATTTTAAACCAAAGCTGAAGCAGTAAATTGAACAGAGTTTGTGTATTCGAGAGAGTCTGCCTAGGCTCATATCTTGTATATCCTGAACAGGAAAAAGAACCGTGATTATTAGACTGGGGGGGCATGAATTTTCTTCTTCTTGGTCCCCAGAGGTGAGGACAGTCTTTAAGTATTTTTTTTCTTGCAAACTGATCTGTGGTAGAATTGGTGCCTCTTGTTTGTGGAGGTGACTCGGTGGAGAGGAGTGCGGGGTGCTGCCTGGCTCCCCAGAGGTGAGTGGGGGATGTGTGAGCCGTGGTGGCTGTGAAAGGAAGGACGGGTGCCTCGTGGGTGGTGCTGCCCCTGGAAGATAGTCCCCGTGGTGATGTGTGGGAGCTGCATGACTTGGATCTGCACCGAAGATTGGACAAATTAGTCGCTGTTCATCGTCAGATGTGATTAGTCCCCAAAGCTCATTTTCACCCTGAAATAAGTATGTGGCTCTTAAAGCCAAGAAGGTGGGAAAAGTAACCTCAGGGTGGCTGTTGCTGTGTAATGTGTTGTGTTAATATCCTGTGCAGATTGAGAGACCGGGCGCCTGCCATTAAAGCACAGCTGCTTCCTAAAAGTGAGCTGTGCAGCTTGCATAATCACTCAGATTTAAGGGAGCTTTTTGCGTAATCTTGGCCTCAAAAGAGACCTCCAGGCTTGAGGTGTAGCTTAAGTCATGTTGATCAGAGTGGCTAAAAACAACTCCCGGGCCCCACGAAAAAAAACACGTACCCAGATAACTGCAGTGCCTCCTCCTGGTGTAAGTGGAAAAGAAGAAAATGCAGTTAAATGATTCAAACTGGCATGTTGCTGTTTTGAGTGAGTTGAAAACTTTGTCATTAGTATTCTGGTGCGGTGCTCTGATTCCACATAAGAAATGATGCTCGGTGTAGGCACGCGAGCCTGTTGCATGCATACTCCCTGTGAGGGAAAAGCCTGGGCTGGCGTTCTGGTTAAGGTAGCCAGGGGAATTGGCAGAAGCCGCTAAGTACCTGTCAAGTTTGCTTAAGGGTTAAAAGCAGGCTTTTGGAGAAGCTGTGTTGCGATATAAGTACAATAAGAGGGACATGCCAAAGGCCTAGGTGGGTGTTTCTTGCTGTTTAACCTGTGTTTGGCTTCCCTTGTTTCTTGGTATGTTTTGAACAAGAGCTGTCCCAGTGCTTGTCTGTAAACGGTGGTAGTGGATGCGTGGCTGTAACTTCCACACGTCTTCCCTAAGCTGCATGGGCTGCTGCCTGGAGTCAGCGTGACATTCTTTCAGCGTAAAGTGGAGAAGAGTTGAGTTACAGGACTGACATTATGCAGAGATTTTATTCTAAAACCGATGGCCTGGTTACCGTCCATAACGTCTGAGCCTGCCTGCTGTTCCGCAGAAGGTTCCCAAGCTCTACAAATGGTGTCGCTGTGTCCTAAGTAGCACGTGCTTACTTGGAGGCAGCTGCTCTTTTTTCCTCCAAATACTTTCAAAAAGCTGTTCTGCATCCTGGAAGTGCATGAGTAGATAGTGTTTTGTATGAATTTTTCCAGTCAAGATTTGCTAACAGCCCCAACGGTGCTTTGTAGCAGAAAGCTTGCCTGGCCTGCCTGCCCCTCCCCATCACTGTTAGTGCCTTGGCCATTGCGCAGCTCGGTGCTGGGCAGCCTGCTCTTCTTGATCATAAAGTGCTAATGACTGATGTTCCAAAGCCTCGTTTGGATGGAACTTGCTTTTAAGAAGGTACAAAGCACAGCAAGGCTTTTGAAGAGCAGCTGTGGTTCTGCAAACGCTGTGTGTAAAGTTGTTTGCTGGTGCTTTAAATCCCACAAGCCAGCCACCAGGTATCATTCTGCTTCTATTTTGAAATGCCCCTATGTCTGTAATGACCCTGCCTTTCTTCTCTCTCGCAGAAATATGATCCTTCGGATCCTGCCTATGCTTACGCTCAGCTAACACACGATGAGCTGATCCAGCTGGTCTTGAAACAGAAGGATACAATTACCAAGAAAGATCTTCAGGTGCGCGAGCTCGAAGACTACATCGATAACTTGCTTGTCAGAGTCATGGAAGAAACCCCAAACATTCTTCGTGTTTCAATGTCTGGAAACAAGAAGGCTGGAAAGATGTAAAAGCTCTCGGGACACTGGCTGAACAAAGGACTGAATTCCTGCCTGTGGAGTTTGATTAATAAGGAGATGATGTGAAGTAGGTGGTACCAGTTGCGCTGCCCGCAGAAAATGACCTCTTTCCTGTTCCTGCCTTGAGCAACTCTCAGTTTGATTAGTAGTGACGTCAGGTCTTGTGTACGGAGTCCAGAAGTGGAGTCAACTTCTCATATTTATTTTTTGGTTTCTTTCCATTACTTGGGAAGATTTGTTCAGGCATCTAATCCAAAGGCTGATCTGTGGTAGGAAGGATGAAGGGTTTTTGATGTGTTTTGCTTGCCAGCGAGGCACTGATGATCCTTTATGAAGATTTTTCTTTTTAATGGTTTTGTTTCGTAGCAGCTTTGATCGATCAATTACTCTTCTTTCCATACCTTAAGTTGTAGTGCAATATAAAATCTTGTACAGTAGAGCTTGAGGATTTGATTGTTTTTTAAAAAAATTAATAACTACACTGGAGAGAATTCCAAAGACGTGTGCTTCAGACCAGGGCTGTATTTTAAAATTAATTAATGCCCTAAAAGTTGAATGCAAGTTGAACCTTAGATTGGAAAGGAAGAAGCAAAGCTTAGTTAATCTCATAAAGTACGTACTGTTTCACAGCAGGTCTCCAAGGGGAAGGTCTACAGGGTTTTTTGGTGTAGGAAACATTGAGATGTCACGGTACATTTGTCTGCCACAGGAATGGTAGCAATGAATGTGGACCAAAGGGGCATTTTAAATCAGAAGCTGTTCTCTTACAAACTTCAAATGCCTGGCTCGAAGGTCATTCAAACGGGGGAGCAAAGGTACGCCTGGTTTCTGCTCTGTAGTCTTAAATAGGTATGGATTTCACAGCGCGCGTGCATGGCCCGTGTCTCTTGCTGCATAGGAGTTCTGGGATGATTTTTCTTTTACACCATTGAAGTTTATTACATTTAAATGCCTTAGATTTTGGAGCTGGAGCTTACCTTGGAACGACCTTCAAAGGTGATCAGTCTTACAATGCTTGCTTTTGTGCATTCCTTATAGGGCCAGGAGAGGAACCCAATCGCCCTCCCCTGGGGATGGGAGCAGTCACAATGCGAGTGCTCAAATCTGATTTGGTTTTCTTTGTGCCTTGCTGCTCAGAATGGAATGAAAATCTTAGGCAGCTGAGAGAGTGCTGGTTTTGCTAGACAATCGATACCTCTCCGTCTGCTTCCTTAACACGTGGCTGCTTTGCAGCTTGATAGACACAGGGTACGTTCTGCCCCCCATCCCACCAGACAGAAAATAATAACACAGTGCTATCGAGCAGCCACCACAGCTGGCTTCCTCCACTGAAAAGCTAAATGTGGCTTTTTTTTTGGCAAGCTCTTGTCAAAGACCAAAAAAATCAGATGCCTCTTTGCATCTGTGCGATTTATCGGGGTTGCGAGAGTCTGTAAAAGGCTTAGAAGAAAGTTGAAATGCTGAAAGAGCGGGTAGCAGAGGACCAAAGCAAACGCTCCTACCTTGGGAAGTCAAAAGGGTCCTTGGGTCGCTCCTGGCTTAGCTCGAGAGGGGTGAGCTTCTAACTCAGTTTTTCTACAGCAGAGCACTTTATTGAGGGACTAGACTAGCTGGGTCGACTATCAGCCTGTTAGCAGTCTGCTTACTATTTTCATAAAACACTGAAAACTGCTGGAGACTTCTCAAATGCTGTATTTTTGTAGTGAAGAGTAGTTTAATATATTTGCTTAGAGATGTATACATTTATTGGAAAATTTAAAAAAGGCTGTTAATTATGTTTTTATTACTGTAAACTGACTAACTACCAAAGTCTGGAGCTTTTCTGGCAGAGCTCTCCTTCATGGGAAGCCTGAGCTGAAACACGCCATAAGTGCTAAGAGTTTTCTAAGACTTCAGGTACTTTTTCTAATTTTATTTTTATTTGAGCAGACGTCTTCAGGGAAGGGGTTATTTCTTTTCTACTGTGCCCTCTTCTGTGAGTGACGGGTCTGGAACACAGAGGGTCTTAGCGGCATCTTCAGCTCTTGGCTGATGGTTTTCATTTTGGGTGGTACTTGTTGGCCTTACTGAAACCTGCTGCTGCTTCGCATGCCTTGACGTAGTGAGGAAGATGAAGGATTAATTTGTTTCCTCCTCGTGCCTCAGTGGATCTCTGGAAAGAAACGGTTGCCTATACCTCACTAATAAACTTATCTTCTAGACTTTATTCCACAGCTTTCTGATGTTCTAGGTCAGAGAGTGAGAAAAACCGGTTTGTGCCTTTGAACGGTGACTTAATGGTTCGAAAATCAAAAGTGGCATTATCGGTAGTCGTAACTGGACACATGGGAAGCAAGGCTGGACTCTTGCTTTTTGCTGGCCTTATTTTAAAACAATGTGGGTACTACTGAGTCGCTGGCTGCTGGAGGCGCCGCGGTGCTGCGTGCGATGCTTCTGGGGTACGGATTTTGTGAAGTTTGGATCCGCGCGCATCCTGAAGTTACATGCGCAGAAACAAAGTGGTCACACGCACTCTTAGCGGTCTCCTTAGAGATGGAGCCTTAAAACTTGTGCTACCCTCTCCTGGCAGCCTTTTTTTGCCACTTACGGCCCTGTCCGTTGAGGTGGACCCCAGGCTGTGTCTGGCTTTTGCCCCTGGGGTTGTTCTCTCCGGTGTCGAGCTGCCTGCCACGGGCAGTCACGGTCCCGCACCAGCAACACTTCAACTTCCCTGGCCCTGAAAGCATCGCACAAACCTCGTACCTCAGCCTTTTATTGGCAATACTCATTAAAGCCTTTCTTTGACGTAAGGGGACTGGCATTTTATGTCCAGCAAGGTGCTTTGCCTTGACTTTAAGGGCCTTAAGAATCAAATGTATTGTTTTATTATTGAAGGATCTGAATGTATTTTTCCCTGTTTATAGTGTCTGCTTTTGGCCTGGGTACCTATTTGTTTTTAAATGCCTTTTGGTTTCACGGAACACTAAAATAAAAATACCTTAAATCCAGAGTTCTGATCACCTTTTTTTCGGAAAGAGCAGTTTCGGAAGGGCCTCATCCCCACCTTGTGACCAGCTCTGCTGCCCGAAACTTCTCATCCTCAAGGTATTTTTGGGCTCGTTCCATTCCTGCAAGCTATCCGTGCAGGAAGTTCAATGGTAAACACCTCCCAGGGTGGGGAAACCTGATGGACGAGCTCATCCGCATCACGAGAAGCGAGAGTTTCTGTAAAGCAAAAAAAAAAAAAATAGTGTGAAAGGTTCTTGGCCTGGAGCCAGTTAAATCACCCCAGCCCCTAATTGTAATGGCCCTCAAATTGTGGGCAGGGGATGGAGAGGGAGGAAATCAGCCTCCCGCTGTCTCGGGGCCATTTAGCCCGAAACTCATCTGCGCTGCAGGAGCCCTGAGTGCTGTCATTGCTCTCGTCCTCCGCTGGTAATGAAAGGCGGCGGAGGGGGGGGCACCCACAGCCCCCCAGCACACGGGGGCTCCGGGCGGGGGGGTCGGCCCTGGCAGCCCTGATGAGGACGGGGACGATGCCCTGCGGCTGATGAGTCTCCCGAGGGGAACGTTCCCGTGATTGCGCGGTTCCCCGCCGGGCGAGGCAGCGCGCTGTCCCCTCCGCGCCT